AAAAACTGGTATGGCGCTGAGATCATAAAACACACTGACTATTTAGCAAAAATGAAGATACAACAACACAAAAAGAACGTAAAATCCAATAAAACGGAAAGGAAAAGGATAAAGAAGAAGAAAACAAAATGAGACAGTAGTGATAATGACCAAGCTTTCCTTGAGATGAGATCAGATTCCGACGACGATATTGATATATCAAGGGTTCCAACCCCTCCCATCGAAGAAGAGTTACATCGTGAGGCTATGCCCGATGATTACGTATTAATAAAATTTCCAGTTAAAGAAGGCTCAAATTGTATTTATTATGTCGCTAAAATTTTGCAGCGTTTTGATACTGAAGTTAAAATTGGTTGCCTACAAAAATTCATAAAAAATGACGGAAAATATTATTTTCCTGACGTACCAAACATATCAGTCGCATTTAAGTTCCAAATTGAATTTGTATTGCTAAAACCATTAAGTTTTTCCCAGCTTACAAAAAGGCAACAAGCTTACATTCCGTTTCCTATTTCAATAAATCACTCTATTGTTCGCTAATAACCATATTTTTTAAAATTTTGATTACAAATGTATTCAGAAATGGTTTTTTAAAATTTCTACTTGCCCTAGAACGATTTGCATTGAATTCAATATATAAATTCGGATAAGTTTCCACTTGTCCCTTGCCATGTAGAAAATGTGGGGCAAGTGGAAACCATGTCACATGATTGAAATTTTGTGTTAGAAAAAAGTTCTTTAAAGTTTTTTATGTTATAACACCGCATTCGTTTTAGAAAATACTGTAACTCTTACCTGTCGGTAACCTAATAGAGTGCATATAAAACTAAATTTTTTAGAAGGCCTTAAACAGAAAATGACTGATTTTCTAGGTTTCTCTTACCCCGGTGTACCTTACATCACTTCTCTTTTTTTCCCCATTCTTCGTAGTACAATCTCGTTGGTTATATTGTCCGTCTATGATATCCTTAGGATTCTTCTGTATCCCACATCTCGAAGTTTTTCTCCATCGCTTCAGTGAGTGTCCAGCATTCAACTCCGTAGTATAATATCGAGAAGATATAATATCGTAGGAGCCTTACCTTTATTATAGAGCCGTCTCGATTCTACATTTTATTTCTTGTTAGTGATCCCATTGTTCATTTACTATTGTTCCAAGATAGGTAAACTGTTTTACTCGGTCCACTGGTTTATTCTTGATAAGCAGTTAAACGTCTCTAATTTTAGTTTTTGATGTTTACTTGTAGTCCAAATCTTTCACTTACTTCATTTACTTTGTTTATTAGTTGATGTAAACTGTTTAAACTGTCTGCAAAAAAAAACGGTGTCATCTGCATAGCGGATGTTGTTACGTTCACCATTTAAAAGGATTCCATGTTCGCAATTTTCCAAGGCTTCACTAAATATTTCCTCTGAATATAGGTGAGAGTATACATCCTTGTCTATTGCCTCGCAGAATTTGGATCGCTTCCGTCGGTTCATCTCTAAGATTTGCTCTTATTGTGGCTGATTGGTTCCAGTATAAATTTTGTATTATACGCCGGTCCTTATCATCTATTTGAGATTTTGTTAGAACATCCATCATTTTTCGGTGTTGAACTGTGTCAAATGCTTTTTGGTAGTCCACAAAGTAGGTGTAGATATCGAAAGTCAAATATCTGCATCTTTGGAATAATACCTGTAGTCTGTCTTGTGTTCTTCGAATAGCTTGTATATTCTGCGATGTATAATTTTAAGAAAAAGTTTTAGTGTATGACTCATTAGACTTATTAGCCTATATTCTCCGCACTTTTTTATCCCTGTTTCTTTGGTAACGTAATAAATTCTGAAACTAGCCAGTCTTTTGGAATATTGACTGTGTTATAGATATTATTGAATATTATACATAGTATTTTAAATATTCATCATCAAGAAGTTTAAGAAATTCAGACTGGTCCTCGAGCTCTCCTTTCTTTTAATGATATTCTGGCTGCTCTTATGTTTGCTCTTGGTATAGGTGGTCCTGCTTCCATAAGTATTGGGGATTGGTTCTCCCTCTCATCAAAAAATAAATTTTGTATGTAATTTTTACAGGTATTATTAATACTCTCTTTGTCCATGATTACCTCTTCAATGTCATTAACGAGTTTACTGACTCTTCTGTTTTTATATTTGCCTGTATTTTTCTTACCTTTTTATGCACATTGCGTATTTACTTTGTAGAATTTGAATTTCTTGGCATTTTTTCTTTAGTTCTTTGTGTTTGGCTTCTCTGTGTTACTCTTACCTTCATAAAATTGTCTTTAATGTCGTCTATAGTTTTATTTAAGGGTTCTATCTTCTCTTCTGTGCTTTCCGTTTTATTATCGATTTCTTTGAATTTACTATTTATTGTTTTGGTCACTATTTCTTTTACTTTACTACATTTCAGTTTTCTCATGTCATATTTTTTTACAGTTTTTCTGCGTTTCTTTAACTTGGTTCTATACACGCCCACTAAAGGATTGTGGTCAGATTGAATATCAGCGCCTGGGTAGGTTTTAACACTGTTAAAACTATTTCGATATCTTTTATTGACAAGTATATGTATTTATCAAGATTTATTATGTTCGGCTGCAAAGATATTCATTGTTTCGTCTCGTTGATTTCTCTCTAATAATCCTTAAGGACCAATATGTTGCCCTTCTTTTCCATTACCTATTTAAGCATTGAAATCTCCTATGATTATAAAAAGTTCATGTCTCGGTATATTCCTTATAAGGTTGCTTGTAAAATTCTGATACTTCCTCATCACTGTTATCTACTGTGGGTGCATAGATTTGTATAATGTTGTGTTCATCGGTGACGTATTAATTTGTAACAAGAGTTATCGTTAACTAGTATGAAGTTGACATGTTTGGCTATACTTTTATGTATGATAATTCCGACTCAATTTTTATATTAACCATTTTCTAATCCTGAAGCTACCTCATTTCGCTTGTGCACATTATTGCTATTTTCATGCGTTCCATTTCTTTGATTGCGTATTGGATTTTTTGTGATTGAGCCATATTCCTAACGTTCCAAGTGGGTATTCTCTTCAGACAATTCGTGTGGATTTTTCTTATAGGTGTGTTATTGGGTATTTCACAAGGATTTTGCATATTGACGACCTGGGAGGCCTTGTGGCCATGGGAATCATCTCTCTTGCCGGATCTTGTTCTCCGATGTCCATGATCAGTAAGTGAGTTTGTGTTGTGTTGTACAGTTCTATGATTGTATGAGGTCTCCCAATAAGAATGTCCTGATGTTTTTTTTAAACGAAAACGGTAAAAATTGCTGTAAATAAAAAAAAGAATTTTATTGCAAAATATAATAGATAACAATTATGTTCCGAATAACACATCATTTAAATGTCCACCGTAACTACGTTTGCAGGAACGAATCCAATGAACCCAATTTTCGGTCACTTTATGCAAAATATCCGCATTAATCTCACGAATGGTGTGCTCTATGTTTATTTTCAAGTCTTCAATAGACTGGTTTGTTCACATAGACCAATGACTTAACATAGCCCCATAAAAATAATCCAACGGTGTTAAATCGCAACTTTTTGGAGGCCAAGCATCTGGTCGAAGTTGCTGAATTCTACTGGGATCTCTGGCATCAAGAGAAATCAATGTTTCCGGGAACTTTTCCTTCAATAAATCAATGGTTGGGGCAGTAATGTAACATGTGGCACCGTCCTGTTGGAAAAACATGCCATCCAAATCCATTTCATCCAACTGAGGCAACAAAAAATCCGTTATCATCGTTCGATACCTTTCACCGTTGACTGTTACACCATGTTCTAAAAAATATGGTCCGATGATGCCACCATGCCATAAACCGTACCAGACAGTGACTTTTCCTGGATGCAAAGGCTTATCAAGAGTCTCATGTGGATTATTTTTACTCCAAAAACCACAATTTTGGTTATTCACAAAGCCATTTAACCAAAAATGAGCTTCATCAGAAAAGATTATTTTTTTGAAAAAATCACCATCATTTTCGAGTTTGTCTAGAGCCCAATCAGCGAACAGACGACATTTAGGATGGTCAAGTGGCTTCAGTTCTTGAGTCAGAACAATCTTGTACGGTTGTAGACCTAAATCTTTTCTTAGAACTCGCCAAGTTGTCATTCTGGTGAGTCCAAGTTCTTGAGAACGACGATTTACGGACACATTTGCATTCTCCGCTACACTGGCTCTTACAGCAGCAATATTGTCCTGAGTTCTTGCATTTCGGCGTCTAGTTGGTGGTTTCGACGAATTATACGTACATCAGGACGATGATTTGGTCGTAATGTACGATAGGTATTCACAAAAGAACAATTATTAGCATAAAATTTTAGGATAATTTGCAAACGTTGTTCAAGCGTATATCTTGCCATGGTTATTTGTTAGAGTATACTAAATACAAACGTCAACAAGTGACAGTTCTACCATTTTCAAAATGGCCGCTATGACATTTCAAAAACAGAACGTCCCTATTGGGAAACCCTTTACTAGAGATATCCATTCATAGGGATCTTTAATATAGTGGTTTCTCGTTGCCTTCTATTATTTTTATGCCGTTGACCAAACCACTAATTATTCCGCCTTTGTGGCCTATTTCTCAGCCCCAGGATAAAAGAGTGTCCTACCACCTACCAACTCTTCCATCCGAAGCCGTCGGTCAGCAAGTGAGGGATTGCTTATACCGATAATCTTTTGGGGAATTACCTAATGGTCCACGGGAGGCATTTTATTTCCCTCATACTCACCGGTAAACCGGGTCGAGCATTCCCCTATCCGCCGCCTGGGGACGTGCTCTCTAGGAGTTACAGATTCTTCCGAGAGTGAACTAGATATCTCTATTTTGACGACCTGCAATTACTCCAAATGTTTCCCTATTTTCAATCTGCTGTATAACTTTTATTAATTTGTAACTAATCTTAAGTATATTATCAATTTCTATTAAGCAAGAGTTTAAAATACAAGTAAGATTATCAAATAACTTACCTAAACTGTTGGTTACCATTTCAAAATCGACATTTCCAGTATTAGCACACCAAATTGATTTAAATCCTTTGCACATCGGTTCTTTTTCCAGGATTTGCTCAAGCGTATCCAAACGTTTTAAACCTTCAACTTTGTTTTGTAACCCTCTTTCGTATAAAGCATTTAGAGTTTTACATTCTTGTTTATCATTAGCTACTATAAGTTTTCCAGTTTTTGTGTAAGGTATTCCTTTTTCCTCGCAATATTCATAGATACTTTTAATCCCCTTTTGACATAACACAGATTTAAGTGAACCCGGCCTGAAAAATAACAAATGATTAACATGAACAATAATTCATAAATGCCATGGGAAAACCACCGGTGGAAATCACCACTGCTAGAGTTACCACAAAATACCTCCAGCGATACCTACTATCTACCTATTATCTAAAGAGAATACAGTACGGTACAGATCATAATTAACATAAATCCAACTGGATATAGTACAAATTTGGAGTTACACAGGAAAACTACTGAACATAAGGAATACGTTAGTCGAACCACATCTTTAATACAAGAAATCGAAAACCGATAAATACACTATGTAACGATGACACGTGAACTGGAACAAGAAATTAAGGTATTAATAGTTAAAAAAAACTTTAGACATGGCGTAATTCATCTATCCCAATGGAAATTTATATCCATATGCTTTTGGCTGAATAACCTTATTGAGTATGCTCTTTACCGTTAATGCAAAATTGCACAATAAACAACTAGTTATGAAAGGATGTCATTAGTAGAGCTATTAGACACCAGACTCAGTAAAACGTAAGTTTCTTTTCAATAAAATTATATTCAAATAAATAACAAACAAAATAAAATTTACTTCTACACAATGTGTAGAATTAAAAGAAAAATCCTTAAAACAAACGGGCTGATGTCCTCTAAGGTCGATGCCGGTGAACTGAAAATAAATGCTAACGGTGTTCGGATGGATAGGATAAAGGAAGACCTTTAGTCAATACTCCAAAGCCGGGGATCGGCCGATAAGTACTAGAACCAAGCGAGGTATGGTGCAGAAGTGTTAGATCAATACTCGATCGCAGCGGGAAAGGACGGTGGGCTCTGATCAATACTCAGAGACTGGGGTGGAAGTTCTTCCCCGATAATACTCCGGATCGAACTTAGTTCTCCTTGTTTTTCGCAACATTTTATACATTTGGCTGGTGTGCCATTGTTAGCGCACATCGATGGTAGTGGTAGCTTGTTGGTAAGTAGACAAAATATTTATTGTCGTTCATAATAGTTCAGTATTTACTAAATTGATAAGTACACAATTACTTCCTAATTTAGAACACCCATCTTTGATTGTCCTTCACAACGTACCCTACCATAGTAAAATCATGAATAAACAACCTTCCTCTAAATGTTTAAAATCAGACATTATAGATTGGTTAAACAAAAACAATGTTAATTTTGATAAACATCAATTAAAACCAGAATTGTTATAATTGGCCAAGATCAATCGACAAGAAAAAATATATAAGTATATTGTAGATAAATTGATACGTGAACAAGATTTGCTTAAATTGGCCACCATATTATCCAGATTTTAATGCTATCGAATTAGTATGCCTAAGTGTAAGCATTCTCGTAGTAGGCAACAAAAGTGCTGTTTATCTAATGGAAAGCTTCGGAATTAGCAAAAAAAGCAAAACATATAAATACTCATATCCTCTTCATCAAAAATATTGTTGCCAAAGATATAATTCGAATGAAATACACACGAAATAAAGAAAATCTAACCGATTTGCTTACGAAATAGCTGTCAGTCTTTAAGAAAGTATATTTCAAAACGAAGATTGGATTTTCGTAAAATTCATTATTTTGTGATGAAATTGAGCAAACCATTATTTTCTGTTTGCCTTTTTTTTGCAAATATATATATATATATATATATATATATATATATATAATATATATATATATATATATATATAGATATATATGTGTCTTTTCTCTAGGTAAATTTGTGGTATTTTGTGACTAAAATAAACATCCATGAAGTTATTTTAAGTAGGTAGTATTTCGATACGATTTTAACATAACTAATTTAATAATGGTAGCCTATGGCATGAGATTCTTAAAAATGCTACATTTGACGAGAAACAAAAGATTGAAATAATACCTATTTGAAATTGAGATCTTAAAAAAACGGTGAATTCAGAGAGCGTCACCTTACTTAGTAATATTTTGTGTAAAAAATACCTATAATATATGCCACAATGTATTACTCCGCTGTTATTTCTACTCTGATGCTTTCCAAAAATACCTTCCTTTTCGATTAATGCTGTTGTTAAATTCGGATTTTTTTTCTTTATCTGCCTAGCTATAGCTGTTCCTATTATACCCCCTCCAATTACGGTTGCTTCATACTGAGGAATGTCATCTTTAAAAGTTTTACAACTCGCATTTTGTTGAATATGTAAAGAACACCTTCGTGTGTTACTTTTAAAAATTTGTTTGGCAGTTTCCTTCCAAAAGTTCAGCATAATAAAAATTACTTGACTTTAACCATTGACATTTAATTAAAATATTTTTGAAAGAAAATCCAAACATGACATTATAAAACGCCACTAGGTAGGTTAAAGTTTTTTATATAACCCCATTTATTTTAACAATCTGTTCCTTCCTTAAAACGATCAGTTAAGTGTATGTTTATTACATGTTCATGAAGGGAAAACTTCCATTCCAATGAAGTTTCCCTTTAAATAAACATTCAATAATGACAGAACATACATTCAATTAATGTTTAAAAATTTACTTAAAATCTCTCTTCTAATATTTTTTAGTCTGATTATTCTAGTTATTAAGTCTGTTTGTTTATACCGCGTGTCCTATAAGTATATACCGGTTTTATTATAGATCAGAACTTTGTTTTCTATTGTTAGTTGTGATTTTCTACCAATCATCCAGTAGAGTTTAGTGTTTATGTAGATTGAGTACAGGTTGTTTCCTTTTAGTAAAGATGTGTTTCCGCCAAAGTCATTCTTTCCATACAAATATACCTAGAAATTTTGTGGATTCTGCTTGTGTTAGTTCACTATCGTTTAAATAAACTGGAGAACGAGTATTGTTATTGTCACATGGCACGATTTTGCTTCATTTGCTTTGATTTTCCATGTTTTAAGCCATTCTTGGATTTGGTTCAGGTTAATTTGCAAGTTTTGTGGTGCTCTTTGCGGATTTAATTGTTATGCAAGAACAGCCGTGTCATCAGCGTATGTGGCAGTTGTGGTTAATCTGGTAGTTAGTAAGTCAGCAGTAAATAACAAATATACAACGCTTCCTTGAGGTACATCAGACTTAACTTCGAATTGCTCGGACTGGGCTTCGTGCTCTTTAACTACAAAACAATAAGATTTCAAGATCAGATAATACTGGTGGAGAAGATTTTTCTTGAGTTCATATAAAAGTCAGGTGTGCCAAACCTTGTCGAAAGCTTGACTGGTGTCCAGAAAGGCTACCTCTTGTTCTCCAGATCATTATTTATCTGCTTTACCAAGCGATGAACTTATTCTACGTTTCCGTGCCTGCTGTGGAAACCAAATTGATGTTGTGGGATTAAGTTTCTCTCTAAGGGAATTGGACCCAACCGTTTTGTGAAAAGTTTTTCAAATACGTTAGAGATCATTGATAAAAAACTTATAGACCTATATGATGTCAACTCATTGGCACATTGTCCAGGTTTTAGTATCATGAGAATGTTCGCAACTTTCCATTGGTGAGGAAAGTGATTGTGGATTAGAATTGCATTAAATGCTTGTGCCAATGCCTTCGCTGTTTTTTCGGAAATATTCTGTAATATTTTTCAGTTATTAGGACGTATTCCGAAGATTTTCTGGGAATAATTTCCTTCATTATTACATGAGAGATTTCTCTACAAGTACATTTTCGAATCGGCAAATCCATCCGATGAGGTGTTTCCAGGAATCTTTGTATTTCGTTATCTTCCTCTATTTGTACGTAGTCGTGGGCTGATATGGCTTTATTATAGTTTTTTTATTTATTGCAGTTCTACATTTCTGCCATTTTTGCAAAGTCGTCTTTTTTCTGAGATTTTTTCTCTAACTGCAATTGAGTTTTCATCTTTATATGTATTGTTATGCATAGATGGAGTTGCATACCAAGCAGAATTTTGAATTCTGAATGAAGTTTTTTTTTTCTAAAAACAACCCAATTTTTGTTTTTGTTGAGTAGATGTGCGTCTCGTCTAGTTGGTGGGCGTCCTCTGCTCCGTATGGCTTCTTGCCTTGGTCTCCACTCTAAAATACGTTCATCGGTTGTCTAATAATCTAGCAACGTGGCCTGAACAATTCCATTTTAACGACGCGATTTTTTCAAATGCGTCTGTTGTTTTTGTTCTACGGCGTATTTCTTCGTTTCGGATTCGCTCTCTCAGAGAGACACCCAACATCTGGCGCTCCATAACCATCTGAGTCACGCGAATCTTATTAACTACCTTTTTTGTGAGTGTTAATGTTTTCACTCCATACGTGAATACAGGTAACACACATCGGTCAAATATTTTCCTTTTGAGGCATATCGGTCTTCTTTTCACGTGCCATCTCCTCTAAGAAGGTTGGCAACCATCATGGCAATTCGAACTTTCGACGCCGCTGCTCTAAAGACGTCAACAGAAGTACAGTTAAACCAAGCTCTCAAATTATTTAACCAGGTGATGCGTTTTCTTCCACGAATCCTTCTACCCTGTATTCTTCCTTGCATTATTAATTGCAACAAGTTATAACGCTCGCTCCTCATAACATGTCCCAGATATTGCAATTTTCTGACTTTAACTGTATTTAAGTCCTCTTTATCTTTAGCCATTCTTCTCAACACCTCGACATTCGTGACTCTATCTACCCAACTTATTCTTAATATCCTTCTGTAGGCCCATAACTCGAAGGCTTCCAATTTGTCAGAAACATTTTTCTTTAAAGTCCAAGCTTCCAACCCATAAAATAATACGGAGAACACGTAGCATCTCAGAAGTCTTAACTTTAAAGTAACCCTACTTTTTTCAGTTTGTTGAAAGAATTTCTTGCCTGTCCTATTCTTGCCTTAATCTCTTCTGTGTACTCATTATTTTCATTAATTATTGTACCCAGATATTTATATTTTTCAACTTTTTTAATTTGTTCTCCATGTATTGTTATGCTTTCTTGGCGCTGTTGGGCTTTTGTAATTACCATAAATTGTGTCTTTTTTGTATTTAGGGACAGTCCGTTTTCTTCACTGACTTCTACCACTCTGTCAACCACTTGTTGTAAATCCTCAAGACATTCCGCTAATAAAATAGTGTCGTCGGCAAACCGTAAATTATTGATTGGTCGGCCATTTACTTTTATTCCCATAGTTAGTCTTCTAGTGCTTCCTGGATTATTTCATCTGAATACAAATTAAACAAAGTAGGAGACAGGACACAGCCCTGCCTCACGCCCCCCTCAATCTGTATTTAATTTGAAAAGACGTTGTTCTCTTTTACCACAGCGATCTGATTATAATAGATAGCGCTAATGATCCTGATGTCTCTCATATCTAAGTTTTTCTTTTCAAGTAATTCTATAAGACGGTTATGTCTGACCTTATCGAAGGCTTTGTTGTAATCCAAGAAACACATATATACTGGCTGATTATCGTCCATGCACCTTTGCAGAAGTACATTCACAGCGAACTTCCATCCACTTCTAAATCCAAATTGTGTGTCACTTATGTCCTGCTCAAGTTTGTTGTGTATTCTCCGGTGTATAATTTTTAAAAATATTTTGAGCGTATGGCTCATTAAACATATTATCCGGTGGTCTTGGCATTCTTTTTGTAACAATGATTCCTGTACTGTATATTGTATTAAATAAGTCGACCAATATTCCAATTTGCGGTTCTTCTATTAACCGTATTATGTCTACAGGTATTTCGTCAGGACCTGTTACCTTGTTATTCTTTGTTCGCTTTAAGCCTTTCACCGACGTTTATAATTATTTTGCCGTTTTTATCCAGCAGTATGTTTGAGTTTTTTCTTAATATTAGTGCCTGTTATTTTCCTAATTTTTTTATGAAGGTTTAAGTTATCATGTTTCTCCACCAACTGTTCAATCTCTTCGCATCTGTCACTATACCATCTTTCCTTTGCATCTCTGATCTTTCTCCTTATTTCTGTTTGTATAATATTACACATGTTTTTGTCTTTGGTTTTATAGGATCTTCTTGCTTCCATGAGATCCAGAATCTCATCGGTCATCCTTTCATTTTTGTTCTTGATCACCTTAAGTGTTAGTGTTGTCTGACATGTGATGTGCGTATAAGAGCATCTTTTAATATATGCCATTTCCTGTTCGCATCTTCAGTAGGAATAATTTCTATTTTGGTGAGCTCTTCTTTAATTTTTAGTGTGACTTGCTCTTTTGTTGATGGATCTTTCAAACAGGATACTTGTATCCCGTTTGAATATGAGGCATATCGGTAGATCCGATTTAAATACATAGTTTAATTTACCAGACGCTGCTCAGGCTAATCCTATGCGACGTGGGAGCTCACATGTCTGGTTATCTCTGCCCAACCAAATTTCATATCCTAGGTACTTATATGATGTAGTATGTACAATATTCCTTCCATCAACAGCAATATTTCGATTTAGCACCATAAGTTGCGTTTTGTTGATATTAATGTTTAGTCCGACCTCCAAGGAAGCGTGATATAATTATTATTGCATCCATATGATCGGCTATAAGGACAGTGTCATCTGCAAATCTCAAATGACTGAGCTTCTCTCCATTTATATTGATACTATGCTCGTTCAGATATGCCTTCTTACAAGTATGTTCTTAAAGCGCCGTGAATAGCTTTGGAGATACTGTGTTTTCTTGCCGCACTCCTCGCTGTATACAGAATTTATTTGTTTCTTGTTCAGATAGTCTTACTCTAGCTGTGGCATTTTGGTAGATATATTTAATTATGTTAGTGTACCGATGGTCTATTCGGCCTTCAATGCTTTTAACATTTGGCTTCACAATCCGATGACAAAAATATCAGTGCCAGTGGTTTGCTGTATTCTGCAGACTTCTCCATCAGGTTCTTTATCACTAGTAAGTGGTCGTTAGAGCTCTATCCCGATCTAAATCCAGCTTCTTCTCTAATCTGATCTGAGTCTAATTTAGCGTCCAGTCTTGGTAGATGCATTCGGTGAAAAGCTTTGCCAAATCCTGGATAATTTTATTTCTACCTAGTTTGATCGCTTCGATCACTACTCCGTCATCACCAAGTGATTTGGTATTTTTCATTTCTAAAATGACGTTTTGATTTCGTACAAAGTTATTTCTGGCATTAATTCTGATCCCTGGTTTGTGATTTTGGGCAGGGGCTAATGTTGCCTTTCGTTGGTGTTCTCATACATTTCGTGATAAAAGGATTCGACAACCTCAAGGATTTTGGTTATATCAGTAATAATGTTTCCGTCTTTGGCTTTTTTATTTTATACATATTTTTGTTGCCTATGTTGTT